TCAAATTTTGAATACTAATTAAACAAACTGCAAGCCCTTTATTTTCTATTTTTTATTATAAAAAACACTTTGCATCAACATTTTCTCTCCTTAAACTAAAAAATTTGCTGTGAACTGCGCGAAAGAATCTCTTAAAATTAATACGTTTTTAATACTTATTGCATCGGTAATTACAAAGACTTAAGATACAAAGATACAAAGACCTAAGATTGTTGAAGAAAAATATTGAAAAATAATTCATTTAAATACTCAATAAATTTAAGTACTCGCCAAAAAAAACAAAAGACAAAGAATTTTTTTATGATGTTTAAAATTGTAGAAAGTATAGAGTGTAGGTAGCTTCAATCAAAAAGTCGAACTGTTAAAATACAGTTTTACTTAAAACCAATATAGGTCCTTTGATGATTCTTGCACTTGTGCCTCCAAACCTGTTAAAATAAATATGAAAAAGTTTAGTTTAAACATGAAATTGAAATATTATTTTTAGTCAATATTAACTAAGTAATAGTCAAAGAAATTATTTAAAATCGTAACCGCCAACAATAGAAAAATATATGGTCTGTATATAGTTTTTTGATAGCTGTTGATCTTGTCATCCAAGATATTGTACGTTTGTAATTACAATAAATTTACATATAAAAAAAAAAGATAGAAATAAAACAAAATTCACTACTAGTAGAATATAGATTTCTATCCCCTTATAAATTTTTAATCGTGTTAAAATTAAAATTAAATATTTTACTATTAACAAATATCAAAATAGTTTTAAACTGTTTTTTTTTTCAAAGTTAAACTAATCAATTTATAAGTGTCGGTTCCTATACTACTTACGGTTACTTACTACATTAAGTATTTTTATATCAGACTGAGCATTGGCATCAGTTGAGGTGTTATACTATATAATATATAATTTATAATTATATAATTTTTGTTTACAAATCGAATGTTAATTACATGCTTCAAACACCTACTTTCCAAATATTTTCCCGGTTTTATTAAAGTCAAATGTCACTGACATTTATTTAAAAAAAATATCACTTTTGCGTTATCTGAACTATATCTTTCACTTAAAATTTATCTTACACATAGTTGCATTTGAAATATCTCTTAATTTCAGTCTTCGTTTCAACGAAATTAAGGCCGTTTTCCTTAATATGTATGGAAAAAACAACTTAATTTCACTAAAACGAACATGAGATTAAGATTTCTGCGAAATTAAGGTGAACATAGGATAAAGCCATTTTCCTTAATTGTGTTCTAACCTTAAAACTGAATTCTGCATGAAAAAAAAACTTAATTTCGCTGAAATGAAGGTGAAATTAAGATTTTTGCGAAATTAAGGCGTGTCAGAATATAGTACATATTTCTTTATTGTTTAACGAACATGTCAAAGAACTTCCAAAAGCCGGCGACATAAATCCAAGAAAGAATTTTAAAAATAATATTTTGTTTTAAATTTTCATATTTATAATTATTCCTATAGGTCTTTATACATTATAAATAAAGTTTCATGAGCTTCAATTTGAGATGAATAAAATTATAATAAACATTTTTTCACTTGAATTCTCACTAATAATACTTCAGAGAAGTGGGGCAGGACAATCAATGTTCTATTAAAAACGTGATTATATAAATTATTTCTTCACAAATAATTTCTTAAGACAGCAAATAATGTTATTTGAGAAAACAAGCTCACCTAATCAATACTATCTACCGTTATTCAAATGATAAAAAATTATAAATCAAATCCGGGTTAATATAACTCACCTGCCATTGTGGGATAACTAGAATAAGCTGCTGCACTCTCCAATGCATGTGCCGTTTGCTGATCATGATGTAATCTAAACAATAAAAAAAAGTATATTTTTTTTAAATAATAACAATAAACAACAATCAAATAATAAAAATAAATAAATAAATTTAAAATCTATTAAGTTATAAAGACATCTTTATAGCAATTTTACAACAGTGACAGCATTTGTGTTAGCAAATGTTTGGAATTGTACAAGTACTACCTAGTACGTACCTTGAACCGTGGCTATACTGTTGTGGCAGTCGCAAGTACTGTGCCATGTTGTGATGATGATAAGCATGAGCTGCGTGCGCATGTGCTGCATGTGCATAAGAGCCATAATGTGCCGCTGCATGTGGTACCCAGGGATCAGTTGCATAACCACCATCTGAACTATACAAATCGCTGACCTGTGTAGAAAAGAATTCAATTAAACTTTCAAAATGCACAAAATGTATGTAAATACAAAAACAAAAACAAACTTAAAAGAGTCAACAAATAAAAAAAATTTTAAATGAATAATATCTCTTATGGTAGATATATATACATACCTGCGGATGTGTAGGCGCACTTACAGGATGCACATAGTTACTATTCCAAAATGAAGGTGGGAAATTTCTAGCTGACATTGGACTATTTGCTTCTGGAAATATAAAAGAGATTTTCTTCAATTAATTTATTGTTTTTATCTATAAATAAATATATATTTGAATTATTATTAACTACAAAAATTTTACATTTGAAATTGAAACTATATTACTAAAAATAACTAAGAGGGTAGTCTTTTTAAAACTGGCGTAACCGGCAATGATATTGTCTACAAAAAGTAAATGGAAAATCGATAGTATGAAATAACGTTTCAATGAGACAATCCCAGACCACATGTACCTTCACTTGTTTATTTAAAAGGGAATCGGTAAACTTAACGTATTCGAATTTCATGTGAATATCAATTATCGATAAACAATGCGCTTAACAATTAGAAATGAAATATGCAGATTACTTCTCAGGTTGAGGAAACGTTGATAAAAGTTAAAGTTTCCGAAGGACAATACTTTAAATAATGAAATTTTCTTTTGACATAGAGAATATAAGTCTTTTGGTCTACATAAATGTCTTGAATATCGAAAATAGCTCTGAAAGCTCTGATAATTATAGTACAGGATTGGCTATATTATGTGTGCCCATCTGGCAACACTGTAACTTTGACAAGTTAAGTGAAATTGACTAAAGAATATCTGTTCGGTAAATCAAAAAAATCCATAAATTACTACGAATTCGAAATGTATTTGTAATGCAACCTAAACAAAACAAAATATTTATTTATAAGAAAATAGCTTAGAGATTCGTTTTAAAAAACTTTGATAAAATCGTTATATACCCCTCTACATACATTATAATAATGCCTTGCAATAGTTTCAATGTAATTATGATTAATATATGTAATTTATCTGATGCCTAATGACAACTGATCTGATGATGACTGCAAATCATAATTCATTGATCTACTTTATCTACGAATACTCATTTTTTCTATGTGGGAATATAACACATTTGTTTTTCGTTCCTACATTGAATTTATGGTTACAATCGATAGACATACAATATTTTCATATCATGACCTTCAATAAAAAATTTGTCCTTATTCTTGTATCTCTTTGATACCATCCTGTAGTGTCTGATAGATTACTCAATTTATTTGATTTTTGCCTTTCAATTATGTTACGTGGATGCGTATTCCAATTGTCGATATTTCACAACTCTACTGAGTGCAGGACCTTTAGTCTCCGCGTACATTATATCTTACTGTAAAGATGCCATCAGTTCTACTGGCCTCAGAAATCTTTTCAATATTTGCATTTCAAAATCATTTATTTTATTTTTATTAGCCTTTCTCGCACCATATTAATTAGAGATTAATTGATTTAAAGATTAGAATTAGTGGTACAATTAAGTGTAGAATATAAAGTAATACAATAATGTTACGGTTTCTCAAAGTCAAAAGAAGTTGCTATTGCTGAAACTCTATGTATCCATCCAGCTTAAGAGCTGCATTGTCCTAACAGCTGTGGTAAGGCGTCTATTATTGGTAAAGCAGAGCTGAAGCTGTTGATAAGCTCTGCGCAGGGTCATATGGCATGGGCAACTATTTTAAGGAGAATGGTCTGTTCAAAGGAACATAATGTCGGCTTTGTTTAAAAGCAGATGAGACATTTAATGATATTAGTTTTAATAGTTTCAGGTGTATAATTTTCTAAAATCGAATTTTTTTGGTTGGTTGCTCCTCTTCAGTATACCAAAGTTAGATCTTATTGAATGTCCTTTTTAAATAATTTTTAATATGTATATGCAAGAAACACAAAAATAACAAATGAGTTTATAATAATAAATAGCTTAGTTAGATAAAAGTTGGATCCCAATGCATGTTTATTTAAGATAATTTTTACTGGGTATTAACTATTTAAAAAACAGTATACTAATTTAGGAAACATAAAAATATTCAACAAGTTTATAATATTAAAAAGCTTATTTTACACCTTTGGTCTGATACTCCTCTTCAATAGCTAAAAGTTGGATTGAGTGTCCGTTCTAGACAATTTTCACTGCATATTAACTATGTTAAAAACAGTATACTAATGTAAGAAACATAAAAATAACAAATGAATATGAATTCATTAATTTTAATATATTAAACACTTTATTTTGGAAGTTTGCATTAAAAACTATCATTCAATATACTCCCTTCCCATCACACTTCATGAATTATGAGATGAACTGTAACATTTAATGGCGCCATGCCTTGTTGCAGTTGCGGGGACCATATTTCATCATGTTTCTGGAATGCCTGTTAAAAAATACTTAAACCAATGTGTTAACTACCTAACAATGACTCCATGTGCATTATTTTCACTGCTTCATTTGCATTGATAGCAAATTTACACTTGTTAAAAGTTGCACTCTCTGTCTTCCATACTGTTCATACGGTTAAGGAAAAGTATATATGCACCACCAAAAATAGAAGAAGCACTTATTTTTCCTCGTTTCAAATCCGTGTACATTTGTTGCAACGGAAAGGAATGCGTTTAAAGGCAAGGAATTCGCGTTTCTTTGCGCGTTTTGAAAAGTCTTGCCTCTGCGACAACACAACGAAGCAAATTTTAGACTAAACTCAATACAGAAGAGATGAAATAATATATATTTTTATATATTTTGTATGTGTTGTGTGTTTGTTTATGCAGTAATGCAGTTATGCAGAGTAGTGATGTGCTCGATTGTTGTTCCTGTTGCTTTCTGCAGCAAATGTTGCTAAATGTTACCAAAGATGTGACGCTTTTTGAATTTCTGATGCGCCTTTTTACGTTCAAATGCCGCGTGCCGTACTTATAAATACAACAAACTCATTCTACCACCAACCAACCAACAAACTGAGCAACGAACCAAAGAACCTCACTCTTCCTCAGAAGTATTACGAATACGAGTTCGAATACGAATAAGAAATGACGGCAAGGAATTCTCATTATTGCTGCGAATACAATTCACGCACAACCGCACACGTGCACACCAACTTGAAAACATTACAATGAACCATTCAAACATGCGCCTCCATGTCTGATGTTAGGGAGGACGTTTGGGATGGATAGGCGACAAGACCCACTGCTGCCTTCGGCAACAAAGTATAATGTATTTGTCGATGCCGTTCCATATTTTGGGCCTTAAAATTCACTTTCAATTTAGTGAATACCAAAAAGATAAGAAACAGAAAAAATCGTGCGCCTTCTTGTCGCTGACTAAAAGAAATCAAAAATCGGTAGGAATTTTATTTCCAATTTGATGACATAAACAACCACAAATTAAAACAACAACTACAACAAATACAACAAATACATGAAAAATCTAACAATAACTCAAATTGGAATTTAAATGGTTTTGTCTTAAAACACATTTAATTACAAGCATTTAAGTGGAGGCATCCCATAAAAAGTATAAAGAGGAAAATGCCGTGCCGAAAATCGGGTACATACACTCGTATTTGAGTCACGGTAGCCAGAAAAATTAAGAAGCACTACCTGCTGAGGTATTGAGTTGCAAACAAAATTACGTTGACAAAATATTACATGGCTTAGATTAGGAACGCAATTCTTAAATTTACAGAATCCCAACTGATTGAGATGTGAAGATATGAAATGGGTAAGGATGACATAAATTTATTATAAATCTGATAATAATGTAAAGGCCACACAACGTTGTTCTTCATATTCATGTATAGAATAAAGAAATTTATTTAGATTTAATTGAAGAAAATGAAAGCAATTGGTAAGAACACTATAATTCTAATAAATACTCAATAATTACATTATGCGTATAGGAATTCCAAACTTAATTTTCATTTAAAAAATGAAAAGCTCATATAAAGCTCACTTCCGAAGATAAACCCTATATCCATTATAAATATATACGCTCTATATACATATAAATATATATATGCTCTATAACCTTTCTTCATATTAATTATTTACAATAAACATTTATAATACATTCTTACATTAGATTAAACTTGCTTCAATATTTATATCTAAATAAATCAATTTGAAGAAACTTATTCTTGTCATAATTAAATTAAAATTATAATAAGAACTCTTGCATACTAACATATAAACAATAATTCTGCATTATTAAAACAATTCTTGCTTACAAATTTTCAATAAATATTACATATCTTATATCGTCTTTGCTTCTAACATATTTCGACGATAACGCTGCCAACAAAATGCTCTCTAAGCGCGAAGTTCACAATAACAATAAAAATCAAAAGATCTGTGATCAAACCCAAGGTCCTAATCTAAGATGTCATCTCCAAAGATACTACCTAAATTAAAAATGTTGTCCTAGACTATAATAAATGTTTTAAAAAATATCCTAATCATATATACGATACGGTAGACGGTCTTAAAGAAGTGATTTCTTTCTTTTATTTAAGATACTAGTTTATATTATTTTTAAACTAGTCCGGAACACCTTTGAGTACTTGTTAACATAACTCTATAAATTCATCAAACATGAATATATAATGTAGGTATTAAAAAACTTCTATGAAGTTATATCGTATGATCCTAAACGTTAGTTTTTAGAAATATTTTTTTTAAAGAGGTTTTTTGAACAGTAGTGAAATACAACAACAAAAATTTATTTTTTATATTATTTTTAATTAATTGAATTTTTGGCTGACCGTACAGCTGTTTCGAGTATTGCCAAATACCCATCATCAGTGATCTTAGAAATAATTCTTGTATTTAATTATTCGTAAATAATTATTTTTTGAGACTGCAAGTACCAAGAATCAAGCTCGGGTCCTGCCAAATGTGAAGCTCAGAATCAGCGTACTTTAACCAACTGATTCAAAGCCGTACTTGAATTTTTTTTTTATTCGCATATATTTCTGGAGTTTTGTTACTTATGCTATGAAAGTTTTTATTAACATTTTTACTTGCTGTGTTTATATTAGAACGAAATCATTAACCAGCTATAGAATAATTGAATTAATTAATTAATTATATATTTTATTTTTAATTGTTAAATTTTAATACTATTCTGTTCGTAGAGACATTATTTGTTGCATGATTTGTTCTTTCTTATATATAGAAC